AGTCAAACGTTATGGAACTCTTCAAAGTGTAGTCATCAACATTCTGTATATATCATTGAAAGTAGATCTTTTGGATAAACATTTTAAAATATGGCAAGGAAAGATGATAATCAGCTATCATGGAGCTACCAGGAAACAGGGAAAGGGTGAGAGAGAAAATACTAATATTCAAGAACTCAGGACAAATAGTAATATAAGACAAAACCCAAATGAGTATTAGACAGTGATGAATGAGAAGTTTATGTAATTGTTCAGGAGAAACTTGTTTATTCTTTTAGGAAAAAAATAGAAGCTATTTCATAAAAGTAATAAGTGAAAAAAACTTGAAAATAAAATGTTAGGTTTAGTTTAAAATGTGAGGGTAAAATAATTTGGGTGTTCTTTGCATTCTGTTCATATTAACCTTGGTTCATGTAAAGAAAAGAATATTCAAGTATTTAGAAATTAATTTGCAATGCCTAATTTCACCAGAAGATGGTAGAATGGGGTCAAAATATAAGAAAAAGTGCTAGTTTATATTTTTCTCTCAGGAATTCCCAGCATGCTAAGTGACATGTCTAATCTGTAGAATTGTCAAAAATCTTTTTATTCAGAAGTAAAATTTATAAAGATAATACGATTAGTTGGTTGGTTGATTTGCTTGTTATTCTGTTTTGATTGACATAGGAAAAGAAGAGTAGGGAGAATTCCACCCTGGGACATAAATTGTGACATAGAAGTTCCTTGTCACATCGAATCAACATAACAAGAAATTAAGCCTGTGAAAGAACTATGAATTCATGAGAGAAACAGTTAAAAACAAACTGAATTGATTTGTAAGAACTTCACAAATGGGGAAAAAAGAATTAATCACCCAATCACAACCTTCTATTCAAAACCTTAGGCCAGGCGGAGTGGTGCACGCCTGTAATCCTAGCTCTCTGGGAGGCCGAGGCAGGCGGATTGTTTGAGCTCAGGAGTTCGAGACCAGCCTGAGCAAGAGCGAGACCCCGTCTCTACTAAAAATAGAAAGAAATTAATCAGACAACTAAAAATATATAGAAAAAATTAGCCGGGCATGGTGGCACATGCCTGTAGTCCCAGCTACTCGGGAGGCTGAGGCAGGAGGATCACTTGAGCCCAGGAGTTTGAGGTTGCTGTGAGATAGGCTAACGCCATGGCACTCACTCTAGCCAGGGCAACAGAGTGAGACTCTGTCTCAAAAAAAAAAAAAAAACCTTAATGTTGAAGGGGACAGTCAGCGAAGTCTAGGTCCGGGGAGTACTCAGCCAGAAAGAGAAGGATTTTTTGTTTGTTTGTTTTGCTAATGATAACTCCCAGTTACATCCTGCTAGCCATCTTGTGCCCTTCCCTTGTTATCACCCTCCCTTTCCCAGCTGATTCACCCAGCTGCTACAAATAGTCAAGTGATTTAGATCTTCAAAGGGAACGTTAGCTGCTGAGCAGGAGGAACAGACGGGGAAAGAGGATGCAGAGACAGTCCACGATTCACCTTCAAACACGGAGTGTCTGCTAGATGCAGGGTACCAGGTTCTGGGGTTTCAAAAATAAGTAAGACCTGGTCCTGCCCTTGAGAACTTAAAAAATGTAGGAGTTAAGAGCCACTGTCTATCTCTCCCTCCTTCCATCCAGTAGGCTGTCTCACTAATGGCCCCCCAGTTACCATGGAAACAAGCACTCTGATCTTGAGGAAGCCTTGGCTTGCGGCCAAGCCCTCTCCAGAGGCTCTGACACCTTCTTACCTCCCGCTTCCTGGGTTCCTGACCCTGGGTTGTCTGCACCATTCTTCTGAGTTTCTCCTGGTCCCTTCTTCTCCATACAGCCTCCCTGAATCCCAAACTCCCTCCCATTGCTCATCTCTGAGACTAGACCATCTTCCTAGCCCAGCCCCACTTTTCCCAGACTCGCTCCTTTCCCTGAATTAATATCCTTTCTTGCCCGAGCAATAACCTAATCCTGCCTCTGGCCTTGAGGATGTCTGCAGGGTGAGCTTGTTAAGGCTGGTTGCATAGAAAAGCACCTCAAGGCAGCCTACACAGGCAAAGGTGAAAGTCAATTATCCATGGAAACTACAAATATTTATACAATAACATTGTGTAATATTGTATCACATTGTTTCTTTGTGGCAGTATCGATAAAATCTAAGTCATCAAAACCTGCCTCTGCATTCTTATTTCTTAGAAATGATCCAACATAGAGGTTAAGGGATGAGTTCTGAGTTTCTGATTCCAGGTCTACTATTTATTAATACCTGCTGATGATATTGGATAAGTTACTTCACATCTCTGAGCCTCAGTTTCCTCATATGAGAAACCACAGTGAGAATAATACCACCTCATAGGTTTGTAATGAGGAGCAAATGAAATAATACATGCTGAGGTCTTAGCATGGCACAGAGTAAGTGCTCTGTGTTAGGATACATGGCTACATGGTAAAGCTATTTTCTAATCATTTAAGAAATCTAAAAAAGTGTTAGCATTACAAATTTTTGTTGCTTTTTTTATTCTGAAAATTTCAAGTGGCAAATATATAAAATATCCAATTAAAAAGAACAAGTTTTCACATTTGATTAGTTAATCCCCAATTCCTCTAGGGCTGCTTATTCAAGCTTCTCCCTTTTCGATTGTTTCCCATTTAGCACCAGCTTTTGTTTGTTTGTTTGATAGGTTCTCACTCTGTCACCCAGGTACAGTGGCATCATCATAGCTCACTGCAACCTCGAACTCCTGTCCTCCCGCCTCAGCCTCCCAAAGTGCTGGGATTACAGGCATGAGCCACCACACTCCCCACTCCTCCACTTTTACTTGGATTTTCTTTTTACTATAGATTTGAAGTAAATACATCAATTTCAAAATTTTTGAGGTAGAAATAGGGGTAAAATGAAAAGTAAACCTTTCTGTCCCACTCCAGACTTCTTATTCTTTTTTTCCCGGAAATAATCACTATCTTTATCATTCTTACCAATCTTTGGAGCTTTTGAACACATTTTTTTCACACAAAGATCATACTATAACACTCCTCTGCGTCTTGCTTTTCTATGTAACACAATAACATATCATATAACATAACATATAGATCTACTGTATCATTTTTAATACCTGCATAGTAGATCTTTGTTTAGATATAACACACTTTTGGGGATTCCCCTCCTGATAGACATTTATTTGTGATTCCTATTTATAGAAATAACAATGTTTTATACACTTTTGCACATATGTATTTGCACACTTTGGCAAGAATATGTGTAAGACAAATTTCTAGACATGACACTATTAGGTCAAAGGTCAGTACATTTTTAATTTGAGTAGGTATTACTGCTAAACTGAGGTGGCACCAGATTGCATTCCTCTCTAAGCAGTGCATGAGAGTATCTGCTTGTCTGCAATCTTGCACCGTATGTATTATCCGAATTTTAAATTGTTTCAATCTGATAGGTAAAAAAATACTGTTCTTTAAAATTTTCACTTTCTTTGTCACTTTAATTTTTATTTTGTAAATTATGAATGAAACCAAGAATTTTTTCACATACTTATTAGTCATCTGTATTTTTACAAATCACCTGTCAAAATATTTGCTAATTTTTCTATTATTTTTCTTATGAATTTTAAGTGTTCTTTCTATATTAAAGGAACTATCCTGTGGCCCATCATGTATCACATGATGTAGCAGTACAATTTAAAAAGGAAATAGGCAGGGCACAATGGCTCACACCCGTAATCCCATTTTAGGAGTCCAAGATGGGAGGATTGCTTGAGGCCAAGAGATCAACACCAGCCTAGGCAACATAGCAAGACCTCATCTCTACAAAAAAATGAAAAAAAAAATTAGCTGGGCATGGTGGCATGCGCCTGTAGTTCCAAGTACTCAAGAAGATAAAGTGGGAAGATTGCTTGAGCCCAGGAGATGAAGACTGCAGTGAGCCTCTGCATTCCAGCCTGGGTGACAGAGTGACACACAAAAAAACTTTTGTGTCACTAATTACACATTCATATCTATATACCACATATATAGCTGTTCCATATATATATAGTCTAAAAGAGAAAAATAAAATGGAAAAATTATGACTGATTTTATAGTTATAGTAAATATCACCCTAGAATTTTATTATTGTACTTAATGAAATAAATTAAGCACTATCAACTAATGAATCATTGATTTACTATATTTATCCATTCACATAAGTGACAAACAGATATAATTAATAATATTTTAGTCTTTATATCAGTTTACAAAAATTTACTGTACTAGGGATCAGGCTATATGTGCTTTGCCTAGAGGACCAAGTTTGGAGACTTACCTCTTTTAATGCACTATGTATAATAATTTCATGGTGAGTATTTAAAGTCATCAAGATATTTGATTAAATAATTCTAGAAGAAACCAGTGCTTACCAAAAAGAGTTGATAGTAGCAAAAAGAAGCAAGAGGATCACACACTCTTTTGTAAAAACTGGTAGGTGGTGAACGCTAACACTAGAAAAAAAATTACTATTATCTGATTCTGCAAAATTCCCATTTTCCAGTGAATAATGCCCCAGTTAGACTATACTTTTCTCATGGACAGAAACTGTATCTTAAGGTTCTTTATATGCCCTACAATTAACAATTTTCCATAAATAGTTACAGATTAAATACAAAATTAACAGACACTTGTAACTATCTTGAGTGTTGCTAGTTAACACTGTATACTGGACCTTAAATATAAATCAGTAATTTCAGGATAAATACATTTATTCCCCATATCTAACTATGCCTCCTATGTCTCTGATTCATGATTCTTTCAATACACATCACTTATTCCTACAGTATCATGTTTTATTTAATTCATTCAATACTTAAGAGATTTTCTTTATATACTATTTCCAGTTATCTAAAGGTAATTAATACTATATTATTAATCTTTCACAGCAATATATTCTGGGGAAATTAATATAGGTACAGGAATAATTATAGATCAAAAAATGTTAAAAGTGAAAGTCAATGTTATTCAACAATACTGCATGTCCTTGGAGATTTAGAGTGCCCTAATCATGATGAAATGATGCTTACAACCTAGTGCTACTAATGAAGTTAACAGATCTGGCTTAAAATTGGGTAAAATGGTTTTAGAGGTCATCTGTTCACAGAGGTACAGACGGTGGTGATTCTGTTATCCTTAAGTTTCTCTTGCTCCATATATGCCTTGATTTGTGAGAACAACACGACTTAGAAGACTGGGCAGATCCGGGACTCTGAGAGTGAGAAGACGCCCTCTGCATGAGGTTTCGGGAAATGGCCCTCTGAAGATTCTTCATAGAAGACCCGGCAGCCGTGGCAACCACCCAGGGATGATCCAGGGCCTGGCAGGCTGACATGCGATGACTAGCCTCCAGAATTAGTAGTTTGTCTATGAAGTCCTTCGCCAAGTGGGAAATACTCGGCCAAGGCTGAGAAGAAAAACAAATAAAGTTGGATAAAATAAAAATAAACACACAAAGAATCATATTCTTAATTACATAGATTAATTCCTATCAAATCCAAAAGTTTTCAAATAAGAAATTTGTGAAGCAATACGGTGTCTGCTAAAATTAAAAAAAAAAAAAGAAAGAAATTTGAATGTTGTGTCATGAAATACATAGAGAACCTAAAAATCCACCTTTGAGAGAAGCAAAAACAAACAAAAAAACTCTTTAGCAAAAGAAAAGGCAAACGCAAACACAGAAATTCTCCAAACTCTCTGTCCAACGCATGAGAATTCCTTTCCAGAAATCCGTCCAGTCTGGTGTAGTTCACACATCTCATTTACAGGAGCTAGACAAGGCAGAGAGGCTGTTTTTGATGAACTACATCAGTATCGGGTTAGTGTTCACCACACTGTGGCCATCTCACTGAGTCCCTGTGACACTGAGAGTGAGACAGAGTGGAAGTTGAAAGTGGAATAGATTCAGAAATCATCTTTTCTCTCCCTCTGAAAGCTTCCTGTGGACTTAGGATGCCTCCCTCTCCACAGCCTGGGCAGAGAAGGGGAAGGACAGCGAGCGCACGTGAGCGAGGGGTGCTCCACAGCGCACTTCCTCGAACACGCAGGGCCCAGCCGCTCCCCACCAGCTGACTGCAAGTGGGTTCAGCATGCAACAGAGCTGTGGCAGTACAATAAGCACAGCTAAGTATCCGATGTTTCAGGAACTTATTCTGACAACATTTACAGCAGTTGCACATGCTCTAAGTACAATAGCTGTAATTCATAGTGGCATTGGTGAGCATGAGGGTTGTTGCTTTATACTCAATCTTGTTTTCTGCACTGCCTACTGAGAAGAAAAAAACTTCTTATCTGAGGAATTCTAGCCCTTTTAAATTATCCAGCAGAGCAGCATAGAAATGCAACAGCAGTCACATCTCACTCCCTCCTTGAGCTAAATAATTAGCTCGCTATGTAGGCTCTAGACTGACAAGGTACAGCCATGAAGTGCCATACCCTGGACGCCATAATTCACACCCTATAATTCAACAAGATATAGCCCATCACTAATCCATGTTATTTCTATAAACCCGTAAGAATTTCTGTCAAACAACTTTACATCAGCCCATTCCTTGTTCCCTTTTGCCTTTAAAAACCTGCCTTGTAACAAAGGCCAAATGGAGCACTTCCCAATGCAACTTGGAAGTGTTTCCCTGGCAGCTCTCCTCACTTTAGCTTAAGTAAACTCTTTAAAATTATACTTTGTGCCTCAGCTTTTTCCTTTAGGTCAACACTACCAACATATAGCACATACCTAGAACAAACTGGTTTTGTAACTCTTGTCCTCTACAAAGGAGAAATATTGAAAAAATTGCCCATACATTTGCTGTATCTTAAACACAATTTCTGGTTGATGTGTTTTTGATTAAATGTTACCTCCCAGGAAAGGTAAGGGAATCCTTACCACCTACTGTCTTTGCCCTTGTGTAAGGAAAAATCAGAGTTCATACATAGACATCACATTCTCCAATCTTACCCCAGAATTTTTTTTTTTTTTTTTTTTTTTTTGGTAGAGATGGGGTCTTGCTAGCTATGTTGCCCAGGCTGGATTTGAACTCCTGGGATCAATCAATCCTCCTGCCTCAGCCTCCCAAGTAGCTGGGACCATAGGTATGTACCTCCACAGCCAAATTAACCCAGAATTTGCATAAAAAGAAAACAGCAAAAGAACTACATTTCTTTTTTTCCTTCAGTTTATTTAGGTAAAAGAGATGAGAATTTTTTACTCCAGAAATAAAGTCATGAAATAAATGAGCAGACTTCTAAATACTCAAGCATGGGAAAAATAAAATGTAAACTCTGCAAATCTAGACAAAGTACCTCAGTGGCTAACTCTCACAATGGCATGCCCTCTGGTTCTGGCTAGACATCTACTTGGCCCTCGATCCAGACACATTTATCTAACTAAGCTCAAGACTATTTAAATGAAGGTTAAATTAGATGGCTCCCTGGAAAATTTTAAGACAAGCAACTGAATCTTTCTGAAAAGAATATAAAATATGTGCAGTGAGGTTTATGGAGAGCTCATTAAGATGACCCCAGATGAATATATGCTTAAAATGCAGTTGAAGAAAATAAAGTAACTGGTGTGCTGGAAAAAAAGCTCTTCAGCCAAAGTTTGTTATTCAAACACAAGTTATAAATTACAGAATTCCTGAGCTATAAGAAACAACTGGAGAATATCTAGGAATCGATTTCACATTACATATTAGAAAAGTAAGAAAACGAACTTGTACTTTTTTATCTTCTTAATTCAAAGTTTATTTTTGTCTATGTTTAATAAAGTATAAAATAGACCCATATACATACCCATGTATATTCTATAAATGAATAAAAACTGAGTGTGCATGCCCCCAATTTTTTAACTGATAGTGTCAGGTAACCAAAAACAAATGGAAAACCACAGGTTGAATCAAATTCCCACTCTGTACAAACTGGCACCTGATGACATCATTCATTCAGTCCCTTTACCAGCTTTCACATCCACTTTATGTCCAAGGAAGCTTTCCTCATAATTTCTCCTCCCAGGTTTGGCCAACCCTACTCTTTGCCTCAAAAATTTCCCTTTGTTTGGCTCTTCTCAGCAGTCCCAGGTAGACACTGTCCCACGCTAGCCTGGTAACCCATCTTAATGTGAAAAGTGCATGAGGTCGGTGTATCTGGGCTGGACAGGCTGTCTGGCCACACACTCCTCTGCAACTTCAGGGTCTCCATCTCCTTGTCAGAAAAATGGGGATCGCCATATCTCTTTCACAAGATTGTTATTAGGACCAAACTAGATCAAGGATGTGACAGATGGTTTTCACAGTATAAAATACTATGTAGATTTTTGTGGCTGTTCTTTTTACTATTTAATCCTCACAGCTGAACTCCCTCCTCAGCCCTTTCGTGGACACATTCATTGACTGTACTTAGAGAACTGGAATATGAAAATTATCCAGTATTTCTCAGACCAAGTCCATTTACTAAAGTGTGATAAATGTCTTCCCTCAAATAAAAAAAAAAAACAAAACTGTTCTGTGCTAAGAGGTAATGAACCATGTAAAAAGAAAGGTAGCACTTTCTTTTATCCCAAGATTATTCAATTAATTTAGTTGCAAGTAAATTGTAATATTAGTGTAAAGAGATTTGGCCATGAGGGAAGGGATGTTCCTACTTCTTTACCCATAAGAAAAATACTAAATTTAAAGAGGGTTGGGCCTTTACTTTTTTCCTTTCCTTATCCAGTTTTTTGCCTATTTTTCTGTCTTCTCCCATAGAGATTGGCTTAACTGTATGAAAGAACAATAACCAAAACAGAGGTGTAAAACCAAAATTTAATACTAGTGATTGCACTACTTACTGGCTTTGGAGGAATAAAAGGAATTTAGAGGGATGGTATCTTATATGTTATAGACGTCTTGACTCTCTCACCTTCAAACGGGGAAGTAAGGAATGATTGTAGTTTATTGCTTGTCAGTTTCCTGATGAACAATCTTCTAATGGCTGCCCGAGTCCAGGCCCTTTAAAAGAGCCTGGTTCTTTTAGCACTGGTGAGCACACCCTGGTGAGAACCTGGCTGGATTATTCTCCGGGACCATACTCTCAGGCTGTGGCTCTCTGACTCATCTCCCCAGCTTTTCATTAACTGGCTCTGTACTCCAGCTCCATCCTTTTCTGCCCTCTTCCTCCTTCCTGTCCTCCTTGGTCTGGCAAGCAGACCTCACTTCCCTCTCCAGTGTTCTACATCAGCTCACAAATTAACTTCTCTGCTCAGGGTTCTTTTTATCTAGAGGTTGCCCACCACTTTGTGTACTAGAGGCCCCTTCCCTCCCCTCCTCACTAGGAGCCTCTGGGATCCCCATGGAGATCCATGGCAGCCCTCCAGGAGACAAAAGAGTCATACATTTAAGATTAACATTTTCATTCTCTTCTTTTTATGAACACCAATTAATGGGGCTAAGGTAATAGCTTGTGCAAAAGATTGATAAATATACAAAAACTGACTAAGTAACCAGTTTAAAAAATCAGGTTTGATTCCCAGCTAATGCACTAGGCCAACAAAAAAAACAAGAAGAAGAAAAAGAATGAATAATATTCCTACAACTAGTCAAAGCTTTCATATTTATTTCTTGGTTCCTTTGCATAAATGCCCACAAAGAATCATTATTAAAAATAATTATTAAAAAGCTAGACACACACACAAACAAAACACACACAAAACATACACACAGTTCCTAAAATTCTAGATGCAAATCTTTGAATTTTAGCACTGTAACTAACATTGCAATTTGCTAAATATAACACTTATTGAAGTATAAGGTAATTACTGGTCAATTTAATTAAAGAATTTTCAGAAACGCTACAAAGAGCTATTTTTCCAAATAGATGGATAAGCTATTGTTCAAACCCTTACACTAAAAAGCACTCAATGTAGCATTTATCCACTCGAAAATGGTAATTTTTATTAAAAATTTCTACTGGTAACAACCTTCTGATGCATTTTCCTTCTTCTTTGAACATTAGTGTATGGTCTTGGTAGGATTTAACTCAAGGCTTTGCAACCAACTTCTATGCAAATGTGCCCCAAAATACTGACTAACTCTTCATGACTTTGTTAATTGGCAAAAATCATTCCTCCTCACCTCAGGCAGCAGGAGATTCCTTACATCATCTTTATGTCATACATATTTAACTATTTTTCTTTCTTTATTTCCCAATCTACAAAACAGATTTTAAATTGTGCTTTATCTTTGCCAAAGGTGAAAATGCTCAGCACAAACCTTTAATTATATCGGAATGCTCTATCTATTGGGGCATTTGGAAACTCTGGAAAAAAGTGAATAAATGTTCACAAGTTATAAGCGACATCTAATTTTAAAATGAAAAGTTACTTAATACTATACAGGCTCACAAAGTGGATATTTTTGTGAGTAGAGGTTTAGATATGAGGGAAGGGATGTTTCCACTTCTTCACCCACAGGAAAAACACTAAATCTTTAAAGAGGGTTTGCGTAGAGTTTGAGCACCTACCATTTTTCAAAGCAGCACAGGTTAACAAGAGGGGTGTTTTATTTTCTCCAAAGAAAGAGGAACAGAAGAAGAGTGACCAAAATGAATGGATTGGACTTTGAACCCCAATTCAACAGTTGCCTCATTCTTGTAGACCTAACATATGTTTAGAACAATTTCCTGTAGTTTAAACCTCATAAATCATAATATAAGCAATATAAATATAATATTAAATTGGTTTCTAAAAACTTTACTCAACTAGTTCTTTTCTCCTCAACTCCATAAATTCCACTAATGATGTCAAGGTTAAAGAAGTGCAATGTAATCCAGGAAGTAGATAACATAGCTACTTTTCCACTCTAATAACTATCCTCTTATATCTAAAGGTAATATCTACACAATCGAAATGAAATGCACCACCATTATTTTAATTCATAGAAACACTCATTCTTTGTGATTGAGTTTAAGGGAAGAAGACTTATATCTGTTCAATTTAAGAAAAGTCAGAGAACAGGTGAAGATAAAAATCAACTCACAGTGGATAACAGACTTAAACCTAAGGCATAAACTGTAAGAATTCTAGAAGAATATGTTGGAAAAACTCTTATAGACATTGGCCTATGCAAAGAATTTATGAAGAAGACCCCAAAGGTGATCATAGCAACAACAAAAATAAATAAATGGCACTTGATCAAATTAAAAAGCTTCTGCACAGCCAAGGAAACTATCATGAGAGCAAACAGACAACCTACAGAATAGGAGAAAATATTCGCATGCTACACATCCAATAAAGGGCTGATAACTAGAACATATACAGAACTCAGGAAAATCAGCAAGAAAAAATCAGACGACCCCATCAAAAACTGGGCAAAGGACACGAACAGAAACTTTTCAAAAGAAGACAGACTAATGGCCAAGAAACATATGAAAAAATGCTCAACATCTCTAATCATCAGGGAAATGCAAATCAAAACCACAGTGAGATATTACTTAACTCCAGTGAGAATGGCCTTTATCAAAAAGCCCCAAAACAATAAATGTCAGCTGGGATGTGGAAAGATAGGAACACTGATACACTGCTGGTGGGACTGCAAACTAGTACAACCTCAGTGGAAAGTAATATGGAGATACCTCAAAGATCTCCAAGTAGAACTACCATTTGATCCAGGAATCCCATTACTGGCATCTACCCAAAGGAAAAAAAGACATCTGCACTAGAATGTTTATAGCAGCACAATTCACAATTGCAAAGATGTGGAAACAACCCGAGTGCCCATCGGTAGATGAGTGGAATAATAAAATGTGGTATATGTATACCATGGAGTTCTACTGAGCCACAAAGCACCTCTTGTATTATCCTGGATAGAGCTGGAACCCATTCTACTAAGTGAAGTATCACAAGAATGGAAAAACAAGCACCACATGTACTCACCATCAAATTGGTATTAACTGATCAACGCTTATGTGCACATTTAGTAATAACATTCATCAGGTGTCAGGCAAGTGGGAGGGGTAGGAGGGGATAGGTATATTCACACTTAATGGGTGCGGTGTGCACCATCTTGGGGGATGGGCATGCTTGAAGTGGGGCACACTGGGGTGGCACAAAAGCAATATATGTAACCTAAACATGATAACCTCCCATAATATGATGAAATAAAAATAAAAGAGAAGAAAATAAAGTATGTTTAGTAAGATTTTATAACTGTTAAAATTATTTTCAATAAAACATCTTTTAAAATAAAAATATCATTAAAAACTGTTAAGCACCACATTTTTATTTTTCGGTAAGCATAAGTATTTAGGAATTAAACCATAGGAATGAGAGCCAAATTACAGGAATTATGGCTTAGCAGACCTAACTGAAATGTGGAATAATATTGATAACATGAATAGAGAACAAATAGAGTAAGGACAGAATAAACAAAATTACTGGAGAAAAGGAGACAGAACAAAACCGGGATCCAGGCTAGTGAAAATGACCACAATCCATCAGAATGTCACTTCTAAGGGAGTATATCAATAAACGCTTTTCTTAACAGTATAGGAATCACAGGTAAATCTAAGCAGATGGAGACCATTTTCTATCGATGTCTGAGTGGGTCTTGCTCTGTGCTCTGTTACCCGGGCTGGAGTGCAGTGACGTGATGTTAGGTAACTGCAGCCTCGAACTCCTAGGCTCAAGCGATCCTCCTGCTTCAGGCTGGGACTACAGGTGCCTGCCACCACATCCAGCTAATTTTTCTTATTTTTTGATAGAGACAGAGTCTCACTGTTTTGCTCAGGCTGGTCTTAAGCTCCTGGCCTCAAGCAATCCTCCCACCTCAGCTTCCAAAAGTACTGGGATTACAGGCATGAGCCACCACGGCTGGCTTAAAAATATATTTTTACTATCAGTGTCTATCCTTGTCAGCTGGCTGATATGGTTATAAGACTCATTTTATTATCAATTTATTTCGCACAAAAAAAAAAAGACTACAGTGATGCAGTAGAATATAATTAGATAAGAATACATGATTCCCAACTCATGGGCAAGAATTCTTATAATTTGTCATTAGTGTTAAAACTCTAACACCAAGCTTTTCTCACTATTCCATTTAAAAGATGAAAAAGGTATACTTGATAAATGAAGTCTGTACTGCAAAAATAAACCCATAAAACTAATAATTTGCTTAAGCAAAATTCAAACTTTCAGTCCCAGTCTCACAGTGACAATAGTATTTCTATATAACACTGATTCTATATGTATTAATATATGGAAATTTTCTCGGCACTTGTATCTATTAGCTCATTTGATCTTTGCAACAACCCTGTTAGGTAGATACCATCATGATTACCATTTTACAAATGCAGAAATTGAGATAGAGAGAAATTTAAAAACATGCCCAAAGTTATTTAGTAAATGGCAGAGCTGTTAATGGAATCCAGCCAGTATTGGTCCAGATTGTGTTCTTAACCATTATATTACACTGCTTTTCAAAATACTCCTATCAACATGCATGCATGTACACACACACACATCCATACGTGTGCACGCACATGAGCTCTAAAACTCATGTTTCACTAGTCAATTTATTCCCTTTTACATGCTTTTGCATATGTTGTTCTGTTTGGAATATGTTAATCTCCCCTTCTAGAATCTCCTACCTTTCCTCCAAGACAGCACAAATGTGGCCTTCTTTATGGAATCTGACCCAACTTTCCTAAGCAATGCTAGGTTCTCTTCCATTGCTCCTGTGAACTTTGAGACTTTGTTCCTACTTGTATTAAAGCATTTACGTTTGAAGAAATATGTAATAATATTTGGTCTCTCAGCCAAAACCACCAGATCCCTACAGCAGGGACACTGAGCATTTTTCATGTGAGTATCCCCAGACCTGAGCAATATTCCTGGTCTGATTAGAAGAAAGGGGTGGGGACCACAGAAAGAGGCACTCACACAGTGTTCAGGATTAGTCCTTTACTTACCGTCTCCAGTACGAGCCCTGCCACCCTGCAGAAAGCCATGGCGATGCCATTGCCAATCAAGCAGATAAGTGAAGGCCTCCCTCGGACAGTGGGAAGAAAATCTTTGTTCTCTTCCATCCTTTCTCCACCATCTGCTGTGCCTTTCTACCTTGGTTGCTCCTCGAGCATTGCAGGAAGCTGCTAGAAAGGGGAACTCCCACCCCAAACCTGCAAAACCCTGGGAATCTCTTCATAATAAATCACTTGCACAAGAATCCTCTTTTCAGGGTTGCTTCTAAGGAGCCCTCTGAAGTAAACCTAACAAAAGGAATTTTTAACACAATATATTATTATTCTTTCACACTAAAAAATTAATTGTGATATCCAGTCTAAATACAGCCCCAATGGACCACACCCCCAACAGCCACACACTGTGTGGCTCCCTTCCGCATTGAATCATGGTTGGCCCAGGACTCCTAATAACCAGTAGAATGAGGCAGAAGGGAGACTGTGCTATTTCCAAGTCCAGCCTTGAAGAGGACTGGCAGCCTCCCTATCTTCCTCCTGGAATATTCCTTTTTGGAAGCCCTAACCTGCCATGTTTAAAAACATATACATGTACAATAAAGTACTAAAGTTCTGTCAGATATAGAAAATATTATACTTAAATTTGTTATTTAACTTTAACTTTGCTTATGTTGTTGCTGTACCTACCGATGTTACATTTTAAGTAGCCATAATCAAACTATCAATATTTTTTATGAGAAATTAAAATAAATGTGTTCATTTGCTCTACATGAAACAAATTTCCTATTTTATCAGGCTTGTCACACACAAGCATTGGCAACTTTCCTTCCCTATCCAAAACAACAAAAAGTTAACAAATTCATGAACACTGGGAGTTTCAAGTTTAAACGATGGGTAAATATTTTACACAAGCTGTGAGGTTAAACATTCCACTGTGAAAACACTACATCACAAAGAGGGCTTGGATCATCTAGATCTTAGGCAGAAAATCTCTCGCCAAACACCCAAGCATCACGCTGAGCTTCTGAGTACACATGGGTTTAGGCGGCCAGCCCGGGCTCCGCATACTGATTAAAGAACACACTGTAGACAAACCCACATATCCGCTTGATCATCAATGTCATGTGCTAACTACAGGCAGCTCAGTAACCAAGGCCCTTGGTACCTTGAGACTGATGGCTCTCAGTTGGGGCAATTTTGCCCCACAGGGGGCATTTAATGATGTCTGGAGACATCTGTGGGTGTCACAACTGGGGGAGGTGTGTTACTGCTATCTAGTGGGTAGAGGCTAAGGATGCTGCTAAACATCCTACAGTGCACAGGACAGCCCCCCTCCCCCAGTAAAGAACCATCCAGCCTCAAATGTCAATAGTGGCAGCGTGAGAAACCCTCCTCCAGCCCAACACAACAGGAATAACATAACGATCTCTTACCTCTCCTGTGTAATTATATTTGCCTTTCAGAATCTTCCTGTAAAGTCTTGTATGGCTTTCATCATCAAAAGGCAGGAATCCGCTCAGTAAAACATATGTGATTACACCAAGAGCCCACATGTCCACTGCACTGGTATAAGGTTTCCTTAGCAAAACCTCAGGGGCTATGTACTCTGGGGTCCCACAGAGTGTCCTCATCATCCAGTCACCTCTTTTGTTCCCAGAGTGTGCCAAACCAAAATCTGTGATTAAAATTTTTGACTCAGCACCTGGATGATAGTATAAGAGATTTTCAGGCTTTAGGTCCCTATGAGTGATTTGCAAAGCGTGCAAATACCTAATCCCATCAGCAACCATCCGGAGGATTCTGACGGCGTCGCCCTCTGTAAAGGATCCCTGAGCAATGAGTCGGTCGAAGAGCTCCCCTCCTGTAGCCAGCTCCATCACCACGTAAACTCGGTCCTGGGCCTCAAAGATCTCTAGGAGCTGGACAATGTAACAATGGCGAACCCGCCTCAGGACGTTGAGCTCAGATTCACACACTTCTCTGCCTTCTCTCACTCTAGTTTCCATCACTTTTATTGCAAAAGGCTTCTTGGTGGTCTTCTGCTCTACCCTGACAACCCAGCTGAAACTGCCTGTCCCAATAAGAGCCTTGATGTCATATCTGTTGGGAAGAAAAACCAAACCTGTCATCCTCTGAAGTGATGATCCTCAAAATTAGTTAAGTCCATGCTTTATACCATCTTTTCCATCCTTATATTGCCTCCACCAGATTTCCCTGCTTATTATTACTTAATGATGTTTATTGTTTTTGAAAGCTGCCCCAAATCTTCTTTTGAAATGGAGGCAAATGATATAAAGGTAATTAGTTAATAGAAAGACAGTCTTAATAACAATAGCTACCATTTACTACACATTTATAATATGTCAGGCATTTTATTTTTTTAAATTTTATACTTATAAAACCCTACTAGGTGATATAATAATGTCCCCCTTCATCAGATAGGAAAATTAAGATGAAAAAAATATTAAGTAATTTCTTTTTTTTTTTTTTTTTTGAGACAGAGTCTCACTCTGTTACCCTGGCTAGAGTGAGTGCCGTGGCATCAGCCTAGCTCACAGCAACCTCAAATTCCTGGGCTCAAGCGATCCTACTGCCTCAGCCTCCCAAGTAGCTGGGACTACAGGCATGCGCCACCATGCCCGGCTAATTTTTTTCTATATATTTTTAGTTGTCCAGATAATTTCTTTCTATTTTTTTTAGTAGAGACAGGGTCTCGCTCTTACTCAGGCTGGTCTCGAACTCCTGAGCTCAAACAATCCACCCGCCTCGGCCTCCCAGAGAGCTAGGATTACAGGCGTGAGCCACCGCTCCCGGCCTTGAGTGATTTCTTAAGGCCACGCAGATTGTGGTTAGAGTGGATGGGATTCAAATGCAACTCCTTCAAATGCATTTCACCAAAATTTCTTTAAAGAATTTTAGGAGCTCCTTTTACCATTTTCTTTCTTTCCTCCAGCCCTTGTTTTTATCATTCTTCAACAACAACCAAATAAGCTGGGGAGAATAAGGAAGAAGCTTACTCCTGTTTATAACTTCTCAAAAGAGGGATCCATGCAAACTTCTACTAAAGGTTAAGAATCCTATCAAGTTTAACCCTCTGCCTTTATTTCAGACATGCTGAGAAAATGTTAGACTTAAAACCATGATTTTACAGATGGAATTATTAAAGAATGATTTAACTCAACCCCTCATTTTACAGATGAGGAAATTTGAAAAACAGGTTAGCCAACTGATCTGTTGTGTTGTAGAATCAGGATGAGAACCCAGATCTGCTTACATACACCATAATGCAGTGCTCTTCTCACTTTATTAAAAACCTCTCTCAGGTAAGGATCCCAGAGAATGGAATGTGCCCAGGAAGTACCCAAGGAAACAGAAATGTTTTATACCACATATTCAATACCAAAGATTCAAACGCAAATATCAATCTGTGCTTTAAATAGGCTTATTTCTTTTTGTTGAGCTTATTCTTCCTGTATTTTTTTTTTTTTTGCCTACTTATTTGTTCCTTATATTCCCGTGCATACTGAATAAAAATGACACTTGGCTGTACCAGACTATAGAAAACAGCTTTGTTCTCCACGGTGCATTTAATTTTCTGGCCAATTACCTTATCAAAACAGATAGCAATTTAGTAAACTTGAATAGATTCTTTCTCCTCTTCCCTTTGCAATTTTGTTTTTTTATTCACGTGCACTTCCAGTGTGATTTTGAAGATAATCACAGGCCCATTTCAAATTCTATTGCTTTGCAGACCAACCAAGTTTTACATTACTTCTAAGGTGGATGAAAGCACTTTGCAAATACTAATTTATCGCTATGCTCTCAAAACTGACGGAAAACTCTCTTGTTCACTGAATTAATCATCAGGTATCAGATAAGCTACACTTCTGAGGAACTACACTGTTTTGCTTGAATAAAAGAAGCTTTTTTCAATACTGTTAAGGGAGCTTCATATTCCAAATATTTGAAAAAATGCTGGTAATTTGGCAATGGAGGAAATAGTAGGCTTTAAGACAAGATTTTGAGCAGTGGGAATAAATGCCTCAGACTGTTACTCAACTTGTCCCATAACAAATTCTTACAGCTGCAGCCTTGCTCATGAATACCCAATGGCCATGGATGGTGACCATCTTTGTGACTTGAGTGGCTGTACCTTGTAAAGTGCCTAGCACAGAGGGGGCAGCAATGAATGCTGAATGAAAGAAACATTCACTGAATACGTATTTTTCCTGCAGCATCACATATATTTTGAAAACATTAAGAATGCATCTGCAAGGTCTTTTCATTCCCTCTGCTTCCACTCTGCCCCCACCAAATGGTAGCCTCAAGGTCGGTTTTGTAGATGGTACAATTTCACATTATTGCAGAGATTATTTAAATGGGAAATATTTAACCTCAGCTGACACAAACTGTGAATTTTTTAACATGGACAAAAAGTGAAACATGGAAATAATGCTATCACACCCTGTTCTATAGAGGTAATTGTAACGTACGCTGAAGAAAAAAGTAAATATAGTCAGATTTAAATTCTATCACCTCTATTCTGCAAGAGTTATAGATGGAATCACAATGGAGAGGAAGGACAACTATGCTCTCTCTAGGCCCAATTCTGCCATTAACTTGGACAAGTCACTTCTTACACTTCTGGGGCTCAACTCCTCACCAGTTAAAGATGACTCTTGAGTTAAAGATGCCCCTTGAGTTAAAGCCTTCTGCTTCTATGATTCTTTTATACTCTAAGGGGCTGGGACTACTCTGGGGGTAGGGATTAGGAGGGTGGATAAAGATCAGACCAAAGAAGCATCATCTCCCTGACTACAGATGATCAGAGATGCTGTTTAACCCATTCAATCTTGCCAAGACCCCATATCTACTCAGATTCAAATTCAGTCACATCAGCCAGCCTTGTCCTTCTCTAAATTTAGCAATTACTGGACTGATTCTCTGGGAGTCACTATACTAAAAGTCCTCAAGTAGGCCAGGAAATGGCTCTGCATGGACTCTGGGCAGAGCACTGCAATGAAGTGAGCATCCGATTCTAGAACCAGAAGTGCCCTTGGAAGCCAGCTGAGCCATCCACCATTGTGTCTCACCCAACACTGCAGAAGGGAAGGAGATTCTGGGATTTCCTCACACAACATGTCCAACATGGCATACTCTGAGGAAATGATTTCTCAGGCCAGCCAACCTGCAGTCTTTGCTCATTTTCCACATAGGGTCAGCCAGGTCTTACTTGTACTTCATGAAGAGAGTAAGTTTTGCAATAAGTTTACTCTAAATGAGGACTTATGCCATGCACTGTGCAGCATAATTTACTTTAATTATCCTCACAACAATCTTTTGCAATAGATATTATTATTAATCCCATTTTAAAGAGGCAGAAACTAAGGAAGAAGGAAAGTTAAGGAACATTGTAAACAGCACATGATAGAAGAGATGGGAGTGGATCCCAAGTCAGGCCTACTCAAAGGTTCATTCTATTCCACTAACTGTAATCCCAATTTCTAGAATTTAGTAGAGGATCCTTCACACAACATGTCTGGTGGGACCCAGCCCCAGTATATGGGTGGCAACGCCCCCTTCCTCTATAGACTCTGCCAGAGGTTGGGAGGCGGTGCTCCTCCCCTCCCCCCAGGATGGGTTCACCCTTCCTTTTTTGTTGCTCCTCCTGCTCTCCTTTCCTTGTCCTCTGCACTCTCTGCTCAGAGATTCAAAGAGAAAATGTACTGGACACTTGAAAAACAGCAAGGAAACCAAGTTGCGATGGCTCACGCCTGTGATCCCAACACTTTGGGAGGCTGAAGCGGGAGGATCACTTGAACACAGGAGTTCAAGAGCAGCTTGGGCCAATAGCAGCGAGACACAGTCTCTACAAAAAAGTTTTAAAATTAGCTGGGTATGGTGGCTGGCGACCACCTGCAGTCCCAAATACTGGGACTGCTGAGGGGAGAGGATCACTTGAGCCCAGGAGTTTGAGGCTGCATTGAGCTGTGATCAAGCCACTGCATGCCGGCTTGAGTAGCCGAGGGAGACTTGATAAAAACAAACAAACAAACAAAAAACAGCACAAGGAAGACTTTACTCCAGACTCAATGGCAATGTGACAATAGGGGTCAAGACTGCTGCAACCCGGGAGAGAGAAGAGTTCTGGGATTAGGCCACCTGCGTTTGCTAACCGGCCTTATGAAAAGAAATCAGGCTCCCACCCTCCCACAGAGACTGGGAAACAGCGGCCCTAAAGCTCTTCATCACATTTCAAAGGGACAGCTCCATATCCCAGAAAAAAGACATTCCTGGGCTTTAGAAGCTTTACATCTCAAAGGGGCAGGGAAAGAATTAGGGAGGTCAGTGGCCTGTAACCCAAAAGAAACCTGTCCAAAGTGCAGTCCAGCTGCAGGGAGCCTTAAGGCTGTCTGGGTCAGAGGTTTATCTTTCTCAGCCCAGCCCCACGCCCGCCCAAGCGCGGCGCTTTACCTGGCAAGGACCCGGGGGTCGAACTTGGCTCGGAAGCGAGCCACCTGCATGCTCCGCGCCACCTGGGCCGCCGCCTCCGGCCCGGGCCCCGAGCCTCTGGCGCTGCCTGGGCTTTGGTCCTGGTGTTTGACCCCAGCCCTCCCGGGCGGCTCCGGGACCACCTTCCTGCTGGCGCTGCACCCCATGCCCACAGATGGCAACCCGCGCCCCGCCCCGCCGCTCATTTATCCCCAGCACAGCGAGGAGGGGGCGGGACACTCCCAAACAAAACCCTCTTCGGGGTCCTTGTTAGGAAGAAAGCCAGCTGAGTGCCTGCCAGCGTCCGAACGCCTTCATCCTCATGGACCACTCGTCTGCGTGTACAATTCGACATGGTGATAGCAAAGTGAACTAGAAGGCACGAGCCTGGGCTTAATTCTCTGGGCTTCACCTTTCTCATCTCCAAACTGAAGCACTGAATATATAAACTTACACGATTCTGTGAAAGATATTGTCCTGCTAAAAGACTTTCATGTCTCCATGGCTGAGCTCATATCTGGATAACATAAACTCTCTCTCTCTTTATATATACACACACACACAGCCACACACATGCACATATTCTAAGAGCTTATAATATTTAAAGTACAACATCACTGTCCTCTATTGCATTAAGTAAACAGTTGGCACTAGTCTGTGTCTGGCACTCACGACTCTCACTCTCTGGGTAATTCATCTGAGATAGAAAAACTCAGGCCAACTAGAGAAGTCTAAACCCAGCCGAACATCCTAAGCAAATACAAGGATAAAATCTGTTTTTAAAAGTATATATATAAAATAATCCTATATTTTCTATATATTTCATTCTTATATTCATATATATCTATGCATGTATGTGTACATATAATACAATATTTTACTAATATAAATATTTAATAACTATTTTATATATTGATTATATCATTATATTGATTAGCTATCCTTGATATTGAACTATACGTATATATATATAAACATATATACATATATAAATGACATGAGGGAAGTGAAATTGAGTTAAGGCCAAGCAAGTCCAGATCACATACCTAGCAAATTGTAGAACCGGAACTGGAAGCCAAGCCTCCCAATTTCCAGCCCAGTGCTCCTTCGATGTGTGTCATTTCCTTTCTAATTTTATTTAACTAGTAGTTTGGTTTAACAGGAAATGTCTCTGATGAGTAAATTAGTCATGGATTTTACCACAACTATATTTTGAAGGAAAATTTCAAATATGGCTTGGGTATAACTGAGAAGAAAATTAGCCCATCCTGCAAAGGGAACGTAACTACCAAATATAGGACTTTTCTTAGTAAAGAGCCCTCAGAATTCTCCAAATACCAGTAAACAAAGATAGAAGGTTGGTTTTAAGCAGACGAACAACTTGTGCTTTTATGTCTCAAGCTTTTGAACCAATTTGCGGAATAGGGAGGAAGTAGCGATGTGATTAGGTCAGTAGAGGCAGAAGGGAAGAGGGAAAAAAGGAAACAAACAGAAGTCAAATGTTAAGGTGCTGCTCAAAGAATCGCATCTGTTCCTCAGAAAGCCTGAGTATAAGTGTTGTTTGAATAGTGTCACCCAGCAAATAGGAAGCATCTAAATCCTAAACCTGGGCAGCAGTGGAGGCATCAGGCACTTCCACCAGGCAGGCAGTCCCTCTGCATGTCTGGTCTCTCCCAGCAGCAAGCTACTTCGGAGTAGGATGCAGAAACCTCTCCTGTTCTGGCTACAACTAGCCGCACACCTGAGAAAGCTTTGTCACCAGTCTCCCCCTAAGCCTGAACCATGTTCCTTGAACATTGCCAAATACAGTCACTGATTTTAAAGCCCTTTGATAATGAAAACCTTACTAAAACCACTGATTAGTTCCCTTTTGGAAAGCACCAACTATTAACTGGAAGTGTTGATAATATAAATTCTGTGCCTGGAAAAAAAATTTAAGTGCTTATGCATTTGAAATTTTTACGTTCAAGGATTTTTACCAAGCTTTGAAATGTTAAAATGATCACAAATATATTCTCTTAACCTAACTAATCTCTGAGAAAGAAAAATTCCTAGTGTGTAGAATAATATCCTATGACATAGAATCTCCTGCATGTATTTCTCTTTACTGTGCACAATTGCTTCATTATATGGGAGACTGCTCAAGCATTGTTAGGGACCACATGCTATTCCTACATTAATTATTTATAGTTATTTAAATTATATGTTTTAACCTAATTAAAGCAATACAAATTTAAAACTGAGCTCTAGACTTAAGACCAGTTTTAAATCAACTTTTATTTTTATATCAATATGTTTAGTGCCTATAAGTAGCTTCTGGTAACACTTAAATCAACTGAAAAACTGGAAACAGTGTTTACCACTTGGTTCTGTGATATGGTGTTTTATGCAGAGTAATGATACTGGACTTCCAGCTTCTAAACAAAAAATCTTACCCCAACTGCCATTATTCTCCAAGTCACAAATTCTTACTAGATTGTCAGCTGTAACATTCATGACAATATGTAATACATTGCTCCAATCACTCAGTGCCAGATTCCATCTTACACCCGGTTTTTAAAAAGCAGAGTTAGGAGGGCACATAGAGTTAAATCCTGGAGTGTGTCCTGGGCAATAGAGATTCTCAATCCATAGAAACTTCCTGGAATAACTCTCCACTTATATTTCATAAATTGATTTAGTTAAGTAACTTGATTAGTGAAAGATACACTTCACAAGTTATGATCCAATACCTAAAGAGTATTTTATTGAAAAGATTTAAGGAATTATGCCAAATCAAAAACTCATTAAAGACTTAAACTATCATTTAGGGAAAACTCATTTCTCTTTTACATGAACAATATTGGTGGGAAACAGGAAAAAGTATATAAACATTTTATATTCTATTCTATTGTCAGTTTTTAGTATACTTCAGTAAAATAAAGCCAGCCAAACAAGTAATTACGGGTATCCTAAGGAGTGATATACTAGAAACCCTACAATACTATAATACCATTCTGTATCTTAAAACTAAAAGATATTTTTAAAAAGATACTTTTTAACAGGTAAAATGAAGAATTTGCTTCATTTAGAATTAGTTCCTCTGGAAATAGCTGCACTCTTGCTGTTTTTCAGTTTTAGTTCTCTTTAGAGCCCCCCTACTGGGATTAATATTCTCTGCAAAGATCTCCTGCCTTAAATATTAGTTTGAAGGTGTTCATCTTATTCACTTGCTTTCCCCACAGGGTGTTGGATTTGTGTTTGTAATGACAACTAGCATGGGGCTCTTTTAAGCCAATTTTACATACCCCATGATGTGTGGAACCAACAGTGCAAAGCTACTCTCAAGCTTTCTTCCCATAAACAAATAACAAGGAGCCTGTAAGTAGGATGTCTTTGTGTGAAGCTCAGAGAGGGTAGGAACTTTCCTGCCACCCTTGCCAGGCTATTTCTCACTATCACAACACCTTACAAAAATGGGACTGTAATAATTCACAAAAGTCAGTAATAATTTGTCAATTACTGAAAATATTTTACCATCACTACACTAGTGAATAATTCATGTTAGCTTGCATATATTTACATTAAGCTCCAAAGAAAGAGTATTTAGCTTTTGTAGAATTACAAGTTATACAAGTTATTTGTCTTATAACTACAAAAAAGAAAATAAATATTAGTATATAGTAGTAATAGGTGAAACCTTTTCTGTCAAGTAAAAACACAAATTTTTCCATTCATAGCAGTGAATCAAAGAAGTCACCAGCCATGGCAATGAATAGTTTCCTTGTTTTAGTGTATCAATTAAAAAAGATAAAGTGGCAGAGTATTTTGCTACATTTTAGCAGATTTGTCTAAAGAATTTCTGTCTTTTCAAGTTGGCAATTTGCATCCAAAGCCTTAAAAAAAAAAATGATAGCTAGAAATATGTTCAGTTACATGGAAAAATAGTCACAATATGTTGCTGGTAGGGAAAAAAAGGCTATTTTGTGTGATCTCATTTTTAAAATCACTAATGAAATAAGTTCCTATGGTGAGGAATGGCAGCCTCTGGCTGACAGAAAGTAAAGAACTGAGGCTGGCTGACAACTATGGCACGAGCTTGGGGACTGACTCTCCACCCCAGACTGCAGCGCTGGCCTACAGCTTGGTGGCAACCTGAGAACTTGGCTGTAAAAGCAGACTTCTCAGACTCAAGTCCTAGTAATACCACTTACCAGTTCTGTGACCTTAGGGAAGTTATTTAACCTCCTTATCCCCCCAGTTTTCTTATCAGTGAAACCAACATAATAACATAAATGCCATTGGGTTGTTTAGAATAGCTCAATTCATGTGAAGCATTTAGAACAGCAACTAGAATATTGTAAATGTTCAATAAAAGCTTAAATAAGTGAATGATTTTAAGGGGGTGTATTACCTATCTATTGCTGCAGAACAAATTTCCCTCAAATTTAGCAGCTTTGAAATTACAAGAGGATTTATTTTCTCACATTGTCTAAAGCTTAAGGATCCAAGAGGGTAGCTCTGGCTCAGGGTCTCAGGAAGCAGGTTGGAGCCAAGCTATGTGATGAGGCTACAGTCGTCATGAGGCTTGACTGAAGCTGAATCCCCTTCCAGGCTCACGCAGGGGACTGTTAGCAGGCCCCAGTTCCCTGCTGGCTGTTGGCAGAAGGCCTCCACTCCCCACCACGTGGGCTTCTCCACAGGCTGCCTGAGTGTCCTCAAAGCATGACAGCTGGCTTCCCCCACAGCCAGGAAGGAGTGTAAGCGTGCAGGAGTGGATGGCAGGAGAGTGCCTGAAACAGAAGGTTTGGTCTCTTCTCACTTAATTCCAGAAGTAGCAACTTCCATCACTTTTGTTCACCTCTGGTATTATGTGGAAGGAAAGTACACAAGGGTGTGACTACCAGGAGGTGGGGACTGGGGGAGCCAGCTTGGGGCTGGCTTCCACCAGAATAGAAGGAGGACTGAAAAGTGAAATTTCAGTATAAAGAGGAATCTGAAAGTCAAAGATAGATCAAGAGACGGACATTACGCTTAGGTGGTCGCAGGTTCTCTGCCACTAGGCCTGTTCAAGGGGAGTCTTGGTAGCACTTGGCCTTGCTGAGGAAAAGGATATTAAAAGACAAGGGTGATTGGACTTGAACATTCAGATCTCCTCCAAGCCTGGGCTTTTGTGACGTTTTCTTTCATGTGGTCAACTATAATCATAACTAGATAGGAGGCCTCTTGGCCTCTTCAGGACCTAAATCTTTGTCTCCAACCAAGTATTAAAAACAAAGGAAGATCTTTATACATTTTTTTTTATTGAATTCAATTTGTAGCCAAGATGACATTAAAACTATTATCAGACTGAATCAATAAGAACTGACATGTTTATCTGTTTATATATATTTTAAATATATTTATATCCCTGTGATCAACTTCTTCGATTTTGCCATAACAAGTACTTTATATTCATTTACATTGCATTTCTTTAGGGACTTCTCCTTCACTTTATAAATTTTTTAAAGGTCTAAAATAACTATAAACCCATGTAACTTCAAGTAAAACATCTTGGAGGAAATGTGTAGTTGCTAGGTGATAGAGAAATAAAAATGAAAAATAGGATCACATCATCCAAGATATTTAAGAGGAGAATGGAAATACAAAGAAACTAAATAAATGCCAGTTGTATCTCAGAACAGTTGGACATTGTTAGACTTTCCATCTCTATAGTCCAGATTCCACTTCTATATTCTTTTCTGAGAAAAAAAAAATGCATTTCTACTCCTGCATCTCAAATTCAACGATCGTAACCTCCAATCAGAATACAATTCTGAGGGAAGATGCTACCAAAGAGATAGTGTTATTCCCTGTCCTCCAAGATGTAGATGCCAAGATAGGACTAAATGTGCAAGCACTTTCCTAGATGAAATGCCCATGTGAAAGAAAGTAAGAATGATAGGAAAAGCCAGGAGAGCCATTGAAGAGCGTTGGAACAAAGTGTCCTGGGGTGCCATGCAGAAAGTCACTGAAGAGTTCTTGAGCCAGTTAGCCAAGAATGTAGTCCCCTGTCTCTCAGGAACATTCAGTCATCTGGTGAGAAGTTGGTCATGGGTAGTGTGGCCTCTGTGCAAACTCAAGGATGGATTTCAAAGCTCAGGGTTGGGGGACCCCAATCAACTGTGCTCCCCATTGTAGGAGGTTTGCAAGACACTACTCTCATGGCTGCCACAGACATCAAATCTTCAATGCAATTATTACAAAAAGAAAGGAGCATTTGAATATCTAGACAAACTATTTTCGAATAAGCATGTTAACTAATAAAAATCAGCTCTTGACTATTATTTGAAGAATTTTTATCTATCCTTCTCTTCCCGTGACAAAATTATTTATCTAAAAGATAATTTTAAATGACCAGCATCCTATCATGTAGATATTCTGCAATTTAATTAAGCATTCATTCATTATTGAATACTTAGTGCCACTGTGTGGTGGACACTGGGATACACCACTATTATCCCCTTCAGGAATGAAGGACTTTTTCTAAGCTTCTGGAAATGCTCCCCTAAGATGGCCTACACATAGCCTTTGGCAGAGTTGTGCTTGGTGTATTTGACCCCTGGAGCCATCATTGCTCTAACATCCTTTCCCTCTTCACATATTTATTTGTGAAATAAAACACAAATAATAATCAGAAAAGAAACACAGGTAGCAAAAATTTTCTTTTATTGAATTTTGCCGATATGAACAAATAAGTAATGTGCTACAAAGAGTAATGGATTAATACTTTTCAACAATATTCTTGTATTTTGGGGGGAGAAGGGGAAATTAGTCCTGTAATGGGTGTGTTGTCATACCAAATAGTAACACTACAGTTTCTGGTTTTGAGCTTAACTTCTGCAAATTTGCTAACGACTTCATCGAAATCAATCTTCTCATATTGATGTTCAATTGCCTAAATAGTCAGATTTATCAATCTCTACTCATAGTTGACAGAACAACAATTTCTATTAATCTTCAATTTTGAAAAGGTGCTTTGATGTGAAGCAACAGATATACAGTCACAAAGAATCTGAAATATAAGGTTAAGTTGGCAGAGATTAATAAAATTTCATTTTGTGATAAACTCCAGAAATTAAAATGTTGTCCATGTCATTTCTACTAGCCTTTAAATATCTCCTTCGTCAAAAATTTCCACTAAATATTTTTTTAAATTTGTGTAAATGTATGGGATACAAGTGTAATTTTTGTTACATGCATAGATTGCATACTGGTGAAGGTAGGGCTATTAGGTATCCATTGCACAAATAACATACATTGTATCCATTAAGTAATTTCTCATCATCCCACCAAACCCCAAATTTCCAAGTCTCCATTATCCATCATTCCACACTCTACGTCCATGTGTACACATTACTTAGCTCCCACTTGTAAGTGAGAACATGTAGTATGTCTGAGTTGTTTCACCTAAGATAATGACCTCCAGTTCCATCCATGTTGCTGCAAAAGACAATTGCATTCTTTTTTATAGCTGAATACTATTCCACTGTGTGTATATATATATATACATTTTATTTATCCAATCATTCATTGGTAGGCGTTTAGGTTGATTTTGTTATTTTTGCTTTTGTTAATAGTGTAGCAATAAACAGAGATGCAGGTATCTTTTTTGATACAATGACTTCTTTTCCTTTGGGTAGATACCTGGAAGTGGGATTGCTGAATCAAATGGTAGTTCTATTTTTAGTTCTCTGAAAAACCTCCATACTGTTTTCCACAGAGGTTGCACTAATTTACCTGCCTAGCAACAGTATATAAGCATTCCCTTCTCTCTATATCCTTACCAACATCTGTTCCTACCACACCCAGCTAATTTTTAAATTTCTTATATGTTGTCCAAGCTGGTCTTGAACTCCTGCCTTCAATCGATCCTCCTGCATCAGCCTCCCAAAGGGCTGGGATTACAGGTGCGAGCCACAGTGCCTAGCTTTTTGTCTTTCTAATGATAGCCATTCTGACTAGTGTAAGATGATATCTCACTGTGGTTTACATGTGCATTTCTCTGATGATTAGTGGTGTTGAGCATTTTTTCATATGTCTATTGGCCATTTGTAATGTTTTCTTTTGAAAAATATTTATGTCCTTAGCCTACTTTTTAATGGGATTTGCTGTTCTTGTTTGTGTTCCTTGTAAATTCTGGAAATTACTCACCTGCTGGACACATACGTTGCAAGTATTTCTCCAATTCTGCAGGTTGTCTATTCACTTTGTTGATTATTTTGTTCACTGTGCAGAAGCTTTGTAGTTTAATTATGTACCATTTGTCTATTTTTGTTGCCTGTGCTTTTGACGTGTTAGTCATGGCCTCTTCGCTTTCCACTAAAAATCTTTACCAAAAAAATTTAACATAAATTTCCATTATATAGACGTTCCTCAACTTACAATGGGACTACATCTCAACAGACTCATCATAAGCTGAAAATATCCTAAGTTGAAAATGCATTTAATATACTTAACCTACCGAACATCATAGCTTAGCCTAACCTACCTTACATGTGCTCGGAACACTTACATTAGCCCACGGTTGTGTAAAATCATCTAACATAAAGCCTATTCTATAATAAAGTGTTGAATACTATACACAGATGAGCATTTTGTAGACATGACAGGATGTAAAAACACAAAGTAAAATATCCAAAAACACTGGCAACAGCGTGAGCTGTAGAGCATTGGTTGTTTACCCTCCTGATGGAGTAGCTGACTGGGAGCTGCAGCTCACTGCCTCTGCCCAGCACCGCATCACAAGAGAGTATCACACCACAGACTGCTAGCCCAGAAAAAGTTCAAAATTCAAAATCTGAAGTAGGGTTTACATTGAATGCATATACTTTTGCATCATTGAAAACATCGTAAGTGAGGGATTGTATTTCATAAAACTTCAAAAGTTCATACCACACATAATTGTTCAAACAGTTCCAGGGACATTCATATCTCCTGCTCCTGTGATAATACATATTTCTACATGTATTTAAAGAGGAAATTCAAAATAAACAATGAGAGACTGAGTTCTTACTCTTGGAGCAGTAGTGTGCTTGCTGTGGAAGTTATTCCATGTCAGGGGCCAACTGTTTTTAACTAGGAGTTCTCCAAATTCATTTCCCTGTAAAATAAAATGCTTTTTAAAGGGTAATGTTAGAGATAGGAGAAATCTAACTCTCACACTCAATACGACACTCAGCACAAAACGCTATATCTCAGGTATCAAAACAGGTGTGTGGGCTTGTGCAAGTGCAGTGGTGTTTACAAATAATTGATCACAACCAGTTACAGAGTCCTTTGTTCCTTCTGCACTCCCACTGCTTCACTTAACTAGCCTTAAAAATACATATATACATACATGCACACAAACAAAATGGGTGTGTGGATTTCTCCCCACACAACAAGAAATTCTCCAGCGGACACCAACCAAGTATCATATAATTCAGTTTAAATTTGACACTATCGGTCTGAAGTTAGCACCAGAACCTGCAGGTTAAAGGCTCAATCCCAGAAGACTGCCCCCTCTTCAGATGTCAGTCTCAGATGTCGGTTACAAGTCCCAGGTTGTGACCTGTGCTTCTGACTGACCAGCTATAAAGCAGGTTTCCCACGACCCCCTCCCTGGGTTTGATTAATTTGCTAGGACTGCTCAGGGAGCTCAAGGAAACACTTACATTTACTGGTTTATAATAAAGGATATTACAAAGGATATAAATGAACAGCCAGATGAAGAAGTACACAGGGCAAGGTACGTAGGAAAGGGCCCGGAGCTTCCATATCGATTTCAGGTGCGCCACCCTCCAGGCACCTCCGCATGTTCAGCAATCTGGAAGCTCTCCTAACTTGTCCTTTTGAATTTTCATTATGTAGACACGATTAATTAAACCTTAGCCACTGGCTATCAACACAGCCTTCAGCACCTCTCTCCTCCCCTGAGTCTGGGGGTGGGGCTGAGCATCCCAACTCTCTAACCTTGCCTCTGTCTTCCTGGTGACCAGCCCCCATCCTGAAGCTAGTTGGGACTGAAAGTTCCACCCCTTCATGCACATGTTTGGTTCCCGTGGCAAAAGCCCCACATCTTGAGGCTATTCAGGAGCCAAGAGTGGCCTCATTAGAATAAAAACTGCTCCTATGACCCTGAAAATTTCAGGGGATTTAGAAGCTCTGTGGTAGGAACTGGGATCAAAGACCAATAGCAGAACAAAATGAGCTTACAGAACAAAATATTTTCCTAGCACAAGGGTTTTAGGAGCTCTCTGTCAGTAATTGGGAGACAAAAACCTATATACATGTGTGTATGTACAAATATATATATATATATCTTATTGTATCAAATATCACAGATGAGTAATAAAAGTATACACATTTGAAGCTTACATATATATCTTATTAAAATCCATAGTAATCCCAATTAATTAGACCTTAGACCAACAAAAGTTGGAAGAATAATATTTTATCACTAACATTGTTTAGAATTTAAGGTGTATGGTAGTATTAAAAAGCAGACCCATTTTGTAGACAGTTCATTATTGTTTTCAAATTCTCTGCATATATTGCTCTTCCTTTTCACCTATACCCAGAAATGTCTGTCCCTCTGCTCCACCCTCTGCTTACCCATCTCTGGGGATGCTTCAGCTAAACAAAATTGCCTTGCCCAAGGTCATACCTCCCTTCAGGAGCAACACATGTCCAATTATTGATGAACAGAGGGCACAAAGGCCTGACTCCTGGTCTCTACTCCGGGACAACTCAGAAGGCCATCCCAGCACTGTAGCTGCCTGTGGGGTACGCTGAGGCCTTCCTTGAGTCTGCATCAGAGCTCAAGTTCTCCTTCTGCCCAATCTTATTTCTTTCCATTCCTTTCCATTGGTGTTGATCCCAGTGATCCTCCCTAATAAAGCTCTTGCACACTAAAACTAATATTAAAATTAAAATATAAAAAAATGAAAAAGTCCTGCTTCATGGGGAAACCCAACCTGTAATACTAATTTTTCAGTTTTATGAAGAAGTCAATAAAAACTGGTAGTTAGAATTGATATTGTTTTGATTATTAGAAAAGTTAAATTTTGTTCCTGACATTTTTGGGCCCTTTGTACTTCTGTTTGTGAACTCTCTCTCCTTTGTTTGTTTTGTTTTTGGGTCACTCTCTCCTCGTCCCCCAGGAGAATTGCCCGCCCTTTGCCAATTTTTCTTTCTTTTGTTAACTTGCTCTTTATAAAGATATTAATTCTTTGCCTGACACATTCAGGCCTGCCCAAAGTCACATTCCCTTCTTAGCAGAGGATTCAGCCTATGGGAATCAAAACAGATTTTGTCAGTCTTGTTTTTCAGTTTTGTTTATGATTTTTGAACACATAGATATTTCAAATACTTCCGTCAAAATCTTTCCATTTTTTTCCTTTACTGTTTCTGCCTTTTGCATAGTACCCAGAAAGGACTTCCACACTGGATATATTGTGATGTTGAAATGCACTGTGTCATCGCTCTCGGTTCTTTGGATTGAACTTCCTCATTTTCTACTCACCTCACAGATGGGAGATCACCCAAGCAAATGACATCTCAGGTTCATGAATCATGAGAACTGGTTCTCACTGCTTTAGAGGCAAAGTGGAGTGGAAAAGTGGTGACCTCATTCTCCCCAAGCAAATCCCACTCACCCAAATCCTTATAACCTCCTATCTTTGGTGACTGCAAGTCACCACTCTTGTCACTGACTCTCCTTCTTACACCTACATCTGAGGTTCCATGTTGTGCGCTATTCAGTAGCCTGCCATCTAGTGGTAGCAATAGAGGAGTACAGGCTTTCCCCCAGAGGAATAGCCCCATTTCAGAAGACAACTCTAAGGTCAACTGAACAACCGTATTTGTATAAAATTATGTATAGTTTTAAAATAGTGAAATTAATTATAAACCTGGAGTTATAATATCTTTCTTTTACCTCCAGTTCTGCCATTGTTGATTTGTGATGTCTGGTGGAAAAAAAATTCTTTAAGCTTTTTGAAGTTGGCTTTCTCTTTTCTTAAGGTAAGAAGGTGTTTTTTTGTTTTGTTTTTCTAGACAGAGTCTCCCTCTGTCACCGGGGCTAGAGTGCCTTGGCATCAGCCTAGCTCACAGCAATCTGAAACTCCGAGGCTCAAGGGATCCTCCTGCCTCAGCCTCCTGAGTAGCTGGGACTACAGGCGTGTGCCGCCACGCCCAGCTAATTTTTTTCTATTTTTAGTAGAGACAGGGTCTTCTTGCTCTTGTTCAGACTGGTCTTGAACCCCTGAGCTCAAGGGATCCTCCCACCTCGGCCTTCCAGAGTGCTAGGATTAGAGATGTCAGCCACCATGTCTGACCAAGAAAGCTGTTTTTAATGTCCTAATTTCTCTTGTCATTTCCAATATGTTCTGTAATTCCACTCCATGTGGCCTTTGGAGCATTCTTACACCAAGAAATTTCCTTTATGGAAAATAGAAAAATCATTTCAAATATTTTGAAAAGATATTTTGTAGTAATTTAAAAAAAACGCTTTGCCAACTAAATACTCTTTTTTAAAAAAGAACTTATATTTTGCAGAAATAGAACCAGTAGATTGGAATTCTATGAGAACATGTTTTACTGTGCTAGGAAAACAGTTATTTCTAATACTTGGAGATACATGAAAATTTAATCAGCCTCAAAGTCATGAGTTCTTCTGTATTTTTGCAGTTGGTGTGACATTTTATCAAATGGCCTTTGAGGTCCCTTTGTACTGTGTTAGTATAAACCCTTTTCTGATTACAAATCTTTCTTCTGTGACATTTTTCTAGCCTTATAATAATGTAAAACAACGACCTTTGTACCTATAATAATTTATTTTTCTTAGTTCATATTTTCTCATAGAAATACTGTTCTTGACATAATAATGCCATTTATTATTCCCACTGGTGAATTTTCCATCATTAGTTTATGTACTTACCATACAAGTTACTGCTGTAGCAAGACAGTTCCTGGGCTCACTGCCATCAAAATAGAAAAAAATTTAAAATGGGAAATATATTAAGGAGAGAGAAAATACTGTCAAGCTATTAAGTTTTAAAATACACGTAAATTCAAAAAGTGTAATTTCTTCCAGTTAAAAACATATTGAATGTTTATAAAATAGTACAATAAGTTTTGTAACACTTTTCAAATAATTATTGTTATGAATCAGAATTTCCCAAATAATGTTCCAAAGAATACTACTTCTTCAGATTGTTAAAGGTGTTAATTACCTAAATAAAGGAAGTCATTGTCCAGTCAACTGTTAGGAAAATGCTGGGTTAAAGTTAAGCAGCTTTAATTACCAAAGGACTTCTCAGAGACCTGACCATGTTGATATGCACATTGTTCACAATGAGATACACTACCTATTGCATTTCCCAAACCTACGCATTCACAGAGCTCCCTTTTTCCCAACAAGAACCTTTCAAGGATCCTTCAACAAGATAAATTAGTTGTGACTATACAGGTCACAACTAACTGTGACTAGTTGTGACTATATAGGTCACTATATAGGGTAAATGAAAACAGACTGCGTAATAACAGACAAAAATGTAAAAAGTCACTTACCGTTTAGAAGGAAGGGACAAAAAGTGTGGCATTTGTGATGAAGACCAATGGTCATTTGGGAAATGGAGTAAGAGATGGGGAGTGACAGAACTCCTTGACATTTAGTGACATGGCTAAAGAATCTCTTAACACAGACAACTGGAAGCCACTTGTTAAAATTTTGATGTGCCATTTTTCAAATTAAAAATTAACAGATAAGATGAACCAAATGAAGATGCTTGTTATAATGGTTCAAAACCAAAACAAGCCTTTGAAAAATTAATTCTGCCACCCCAAGAAGCAAATATTTTGGTGCCTCAATAACCTTTTCCAATGTTCACCCACACTGTTTCAGGGGTCATCTCTTCAGGGTGGTTTTTGGGAGAGTTTCATCACATGTATTTCTCTAATGGTTAAGGTTGTGCCAAAAGTATGGATTGCTCTGGTGAGCAGAAAAGAAAATAAGGACAGAATAAAATATAATAAAATGTATAGGGAAATTATCTTTCTCAGGTAATTATTCATTTCATGGTAACTGGCAAAGAAGAGTGGCTTATCTCAACCTTTTTCAAGACACTGCAAACATATCATTTGTGAGTACAGGCTGCTGGTCAAGGACAGAGTGACTAGCCAAGAAGCTCTGCTCCCCTAGGTCTCGTATCTAATCCCCTAATGCTGGGTAAATAGATCCCTGCTCACCTGTGGTCCATTATCTGCAGGGGGTGCTGTCTGGTCCAATTCATGAGACTGGGTAAATCACTGCTTCCCTGCAATGTGGCTCTTGGGTCCTGTACTTTTTTAGTCCCCACCACCCTCAAGTAGAGTAAGTCAATCCTGCCCCATTTGGTAGCATAGTAGGTCAAACTGCAGAAGCCCCAAATTTGCTCTTTTCTAACCACGAATAGTGCTGGCTATTCCCATCCGTGTAGCAAGCCAAATGGGCTGTCATTTGCACTTTAGACTCAGCTTTCCCTCTGGCAGGCTCAAACTCAAAGTCTACATTTGGAGAAACTAGTAAGCTGCTCAAGCTTCAGCTTCCAAAATAGTTTTCCCAAAGCCCTGTTTTGGTGCAATTCAGCTGATGCTGTACGTAAATAAAATTTGTGCTAAAGTTACATTGCTGGCCCCGAATGGATTCACCCATTTGTGTAGCCCCTCCCCTTGAATCTGGGCTAGACTTGTGACTTGCTTTAATCAACAAAATGATGCAGAAATTACACTGTGCCAGTTCCAAGCCTGTGTCTTAAGAAGGCCTGGTTGCTTCTGATTTTTGTACTCTAGTGAGCCCTAAGCCACTAACAACAAACATGGAGAGGAAAGGGCTGAGACTACCTCCAGCAGTCCCCAACCTTTTTGGCACCAGGCACCGGTTTCACAGAACACAATTTTTCCACAGATGGGGGTGGTGTGGCAGCGGTGCGAGGAGTTCAGGTGGTGATGCACAGCCCTGTTTTCCTAACAGGCCACAGACTGGTACTCGGCGAGCCTTGGCAAGAGGATTGGAGACCGCAGAACAGGACTACATGGAGAAAAGTTGGGGGGGGAGGCGGGTAGAGGGTGTCCAGCCTCCAGCTGAACTGCCAGCTGAATGCAGCCATTAAAGTGTGATCACCAGCAAAATCAGGAAAATTGCCCAATTGACAGCCGCCCAGGAAAGCAAAACTGTGAAAAAATAAAATGGTTGTTTTAAGTCACTTGGAGTAGTTGGTTACCCAGCAATACATAATTGAAACAATGCTGACCTGGTTCCTTGTGGTTTTGCATAATTTGTTCAAACCTCAGAGAAAAGGAGGGGTATAATTAATCACACTCCATAAAATTCACACAACCTCAGAAGATAAAAGTCTTATACCCTTCCTGATATTAATGACTCTACTAAACAAGTTCCAAGAAGACAGTCTTCATGTCTGTCATCTCCACATTGTACTCCCAGCACCTAGCACTATGTCTGGCATATAGTAGATATACCAATATGTGTTATGACTGAATAGTAGGTTTAAGAAATGCCAAGATTAAATAAAAAAATGATAGTCTTCCTTATAACTTAGAAACTGTCTGACATACAATTTTACATATTCCCAAAAAAGTTGTTTAAACATGAATTTGAAGTGTATACTAAGAAGAGCTGTTAACGGTATATCTTTGTTTTTTTAATGGTAGAGCTTATTATGTAATGGCAAAAATCATGAAATACATTATACAGGTTGAGTATCCCTAAGCTGAAAATCCAAAATCCAAAATCCTCCAATAAGCCTTTCTTTTAAGAGTAACATCAGTGCTCAAAAAGTTTGAGGATTTGGAGCATTTTGGATTTCAGATTAGGGATACTCAACCTGTACATACCTTGGAAATTAAATTGTAATTTATATGTCCCAAAAATACAGATTTTCAAAAACCAGGCTTTTATACAAGGGGAACAAATTTCATCTATAAAAGCAGAATTAAAATCAACAAGTTTTCAAAAGAAAATTCATACCTACATTTCACCAATGTGCTTTTCCGGATAAGAAATCAACTTTTGCTCTAACCTTGACAAGAGAATAACTATTCTGTGGTAAAATATTCATAAATTTCAAAATCACCTACCCAATAACCACTGCAATGAGGTCACCATTTTAACACAAAGGAGGAAACAGACAAGTTCAAATCAACACAGTACAAAAGCTTAACACATTCCAAAGAGATAAATTCAAACTCTTCACATATAGCCTTCAACTAAAGTTCTATTGTAGATGAAGAGTCAGAAGTTTGTGGGAAAAGAATATTGACTCAGGAACAAAAATATCAGTCTTAGTTGTAGTTCTAATTTTGGCCACTAATTAGCCTCAGTGTATTCCTCTAAAAAGCAATGATTACCTCCTGACACCTACTTCTCAGTAGTCATGAGAATCAAATGATAAATATATACAGCCATTATAAAAAAAAGTAAAATGCTATACTCATGTAATATATAAGAGATATTCTTCTTAATGCCAGCAAAAAAAGAGTAAAATTCACCTATGTATGTGTTTTTGTCACATACTTTTTCTCCATTAAGTATTAGTAACTAGTTCCTTGGATACCATTATAAAGGGTGGTTTATTGAGTTTCCCACTGCTCATAATTACATCATATTTTTATTCAAAGACAAAAATTAAATAAATACAGACCCCAGTTTTTCTAATAATTATGAAATCAAAGTTTCTAGAGCTATAACAGATAAGAACTAATAACATTCTCCAGTTCCCTACCACCAGAGAGATAATATTTTAGGTGTAGAAAAGTCCACGGTTTACTAATCAAATTGTGCTTTAACCATACTAGTGAAAGTTATCTTCTTAATCCTTTAAAAAATTGAATAGGAATCTCCATTTCATTTATTTAGTAAAGTCAATTTTTATTTGATAAAGGCTTCCTAAAGGAAGGGAAGGAATATTCTGAAGTAAGGCATAACTTAACAGAAAAAAAAGTTCTTAAAGTTTTTAATTTCACTAATATCACCTATCTCCTCCTTTCCCCTCAATCCAAATTGAGACATACAAAGACAGAAATAATCAAAATGACTGGTCTGATATTGCTATTGCTCTCCAGCCACCTAATTCATTCCTTTCCTCAGACTCACATGCTCTCAGGCACATAGAAAATGAGAAGGGTACCAATATTTCAATTAAAATCTAAGACCCAAGAATGACAACATGTTAAGAACTGGAAGGAACCTCCTGGGATCATCAAGTCCTTACTGATGATGTCACTTAAAGGCAATAACTCTATCCAATGGATGGTAAATCAGCTGCATTACCTTCATTCAAGAAAGAAAACCATCATATCAACCAACTCCTGGTTCTACTTTATCTACCTATTTACTGATATTTAGGGCAAATTGCTGAAACTTTTGGGGTAGTTTGTTCTGTAATATAACAGTAAATAATATAAGTTAGTCAAAATTCTCTGTAAACTGTAAACCACAACACAAGTGTAATATTATATCTCTAGGTGTATATACAGTATGTTTCTACAGTAGGTGTTCTTATCACTGAATGGAAAAATCTGAAGGTTGCATTGTTTTAAAAAGTGCCCAGTAATTCTGAGAACTACCCCCAGACCAACTGATTAGCCCATGGCTTTCATGGATGAGCTTCATGTGGTCCATGGACTCTCCTAAAATTATATCCATAAAGCATAGGTGGATATGGAAATTTTCCAGGTCAGCACATTTCTCTAGTTTCACCAAGACTTAGCAATCCCCAAAAGGCTGAAAAGTAGCACACATATGCTGAGGGTAAATCTTCCACCGACCTTCCTCAAAATGGTATCAACATTCTCCCAACTAATTTGGCTCACAATCAGTTATTTTTACATTTTTCATTTTCCGTCTCATCAAACTGTGTCTATTCTACTTCCTTTCCATTCCCATTACTACCACCATAGCTCAGACCCTCACTACCTATGACCACAGCAATTGGGAGGTCTCCAATTCACACTACATACCTCAATTTCAATTCATACTACACACTGCTACCTGATTAATCTTCGTAAACCAAAGTTTCAAAAATTATTTCACTCTCAAATCAAAAATCATCTGTGGAACTCCCACTGCCTAATAAATCCAAGGTCATTAGCCTGGCATTAAAACCAATCCATAAACTGGTCCAAATTTTTACTTTAAGCTTTATCACCCTTTATCCTGGTAAAAATACTTTATGTTCTACTCAAACCTAATTACTTGCCTCTCCTCAAAGGATGAACTCTGTGCTCTCTTAGATCCTTCTATCTGTTTGGATTACCTTCCCCTATTCATCAAACTTAAAGGTATCCTTCAAAACCAAGAAGCCAGAAGCTCCCTCCCAACCCTACCTTGCCAAATGAGATCCCAGCTCTATCTAGCTCTTTTGCATTTGAATTCTGAGAGGATTTTTGTATTGTTTATGAAACTTAACTATATATTAAAGGCAAATAAGGCATTTGTGCATAGTACTACCCACCTAGCTAGTCCGTGAAAGTACAAACTTTTAATCATCCTCTCTTTGTATTCCCCAAAATACCCGACACCGTCATACAGTAGATGCCTAAAAATTATGCAAGGAAGTAAAAGAAATTTCAGTCATCATGGGGTAAACAGCAAAGATTACTATCACTTTGAAGTCAAAGCCCTTATCCTACCATTCCAGGCTTCCAAAAAACATAACTCTTAAGTACTGCTTTTCAAAACCATGCTGTTGTAGGTCTTATAAGCAGTCCTGCATTTCAAAGGAAGAACTATTTGAAAATGTATTTGAAAATGTCAAGCTATGTCCCCAAGAACTATTTCACATACTTTACATTTCTCAATTTGAGTTGCTCCCAACATTTGGCCATTACATTTTCAATTTTAAAAATATTAACTATTTATGAAAAGTGATAATTTCCAGTCACAGCTCATTTACTACTTTATGGTTTTAGAAAAGTCACACAAATAAAAGAATGACTTTCCTTTATAAAAGGTGCATTTTGCTTGCATAATATACAGAGACTTGGTGAGACAGGTAAAGTGGACTTATTAAATAAGCATGCACTCCTGTAGAAAACTGCAGACAACTCTAAACCACATATTTCAGTTAAAAACACTAAACAGGGGAAACAAAGATTACTTGTGGACATTATTTTCTCCACTACTATTACTGTTACATAGATAGTGAGGGATTCCAGGCCTCCTAGGGATGAAAAGTAGGTGCTTGTTGCCCCCATCTTGGTCCTGCCTCACCCTAATTCTCCATACCTGGGGGAGGAGGGAATACCCTACAAATCTGCCAATCAGCACTTGGAACCCAGCTGCAAAAGAATGCAGAGGACTCTCTAGCTCATGGGGACAAGAGGCATAGGTACCACACAGTCCTGAAATTGACCTAGAACACTCTGAATACCTACTTAAAGCTGAGGTCATGTGACTCTTAACTGTCCAATCAAAGCAGTTCTATAGGGACCTCTGAACCATGAGGGTGATCCCAATCTGGGCTCTAGAAAACAAGATGCAGACCATAAGCAAGCTCTCCTTCTGCGCCTTTCTTCTGGCTCTCACTTTGCCACAACAGTGGATCCGGTTGTCACCTGTGGTATGTATCAGGCTCTGTAAACTTGTATCTTGCTCTTGCCCTATAATCCTGTATTTCTTAAATAAACTTCATTTTCATGCTTGCCTAACTTCCACGTGTCTGGTTATTCTTCAGCCATGAGTACGCTAAGAACTGACATTTCAGACTGAAACAAGACATTACCAGTAGCATTTTAAAGCAGAAACTCAAATCTTGTTACACATTAGCCTACACAGGAAGATAAAAAGTTATGAAATAGAAAAAGAAAAATAAATCAAGGCCCTGGGAAATATTTTATTCTGGAAGAATGAAAACGTCAAAATTATAACACATACTCCTCTTCGTTGGTTAATGAAGGTTTCATATAATTACCAGAGCAAAAAGTACTCAACTCCAAATCCACATAGCAAAGAAAGGACTGTGAACAAAACTGATCATTTAAAGGTTGTAAAAGGAAGGGGCAAACTACAAAATTTAAATTTGAAAAAGAAAGAAAAAAGATGGCAGGGGAGGGTCCAAGTCACAAGTGAGATAAGGACTGGTAAAATCTGCAAGGTCACTGGGACCTACCAGGTCACAAAGGTGGAGGTGGGGGCTGTGTTGGGGGGAACTGCAGAGTCAGTGAAGAACCGGGAGTGACAAAAACGTGTCAGAAGAAGACATTGGAAGGCTGGAGTCCTTGGTTTGGGACGCTGTAATTGGGGTGAAAGTCAGGGCACGAGGAATGAGTCCATATATCTGTGTTTGGAGGGAGGTGTTAGGGAAAGGCAGAAAGGTAGAAAGGCGGCGCA